ATGAGCATTGAACTCCTGTGTGATTTACTGCCTATGAAATCGCACTGGAGGATCAGCTACAAGTAGGTTCCAACTCAATGGTACAGAACTAAAGCAACAGCATTCCTTGGAAAGGGATGATGTCAGGCTCGGAAAGATGGGAGATCAGTGAAAGTGGAAGACCTTCAGCGAGACGGATCAATACAGTGATGGCGGCAACAGGCGCAAAGTGTGTCGGGATGATCAGAACGGCGCAGCATAAGAAAGGATTTAGTTCTGTCGTTCACGGGGTCAATATGAGTTTGACTTGACAGCACCTAACAATAACAGTTCAGTCTGGATATACTGAGCAGGTCATTTGAGAAGCTGCTTATATGAAGAAGGTGGCTTCAGGATTGGAGGAAGACCTACGGGCAGTCTGCGTAAGGCAGTGACACAGCCTTGTTGAAAGGGAAGAAGATTTGTCCCAGAGGCGCACGGTTCGAATCCACCAGATGCTCTGCCGGGGAAGGAGGGACAATCTCCTCCTGTACCAGTCAGATCTGATTTGACGGTACACTCACACAAAAATAATAAAATAAAAAAAAAAGAAAGGGAAGAAGATTTGAAGCACTTACTAAAGACGATTAAGGACTAAATAGCCTTTCATAGGGACTGAATATGAATTCAATATGGATACTTAACGTCAAGGAAACAAATCCTTACCACTGGACCAATAGCATGGTCATGATAGAGGAAACATGGAAGTTGTCACCAGTTTAATTTTATCCATAAGCAATGCCCATGGTTAATAGCAATAAAAAAACCCCACAAAAACCAGCCAAAAGATGTGCTTAACTGGGAAAAATCCGTCAAGGACCTCTCCAAAAGTACTAATTTGTTCTTGAAAACAATGTATTTGAATTCTGTAAATAAACTAGTAGAAGAAGAAGAAAAAAACAACCAACCCCCCCGCAAGAAACAAAAGTACTAACGAGAAAAGATGTCAGTTTAAAGACCCCTGATCCATGCCATGATATTTTCAGTTGTTTCATATGCATCTGGATGTTTGCCAATGAATAAGGAAGACCTCAGAAAAATAGAAACCTTCGAATCGCGATAGTGACGAAGAGTGCGCAATATTTCATCGACTGCCAAAAGAACAAAGACGTCTGTCTTGGAAGAAATGTGACTGGGGTGTTCCTCAGGGTCAAGGATGGGGACACATCATTTCATGTACATTGGGCATGTTGTCAAGAGGGGCTGGTCTGTCGAGAAAGACATTTAGTCTGGCAAAGGTCGAGGGGTCAAAGAGTGGAAGATCGTCCACGAGATGGATTGAACTCAGCTTCTCTGAGAGAACAGTGCTGCAGCCCCGGGCAGAGTTACAGTCCATTATTCACAGGGTTTCTCTGCGTTGTGTAGACCAGCCGGCACCTCACAAGGACCTGCAACTATTCTTAAACTTCACATTGTTGTTCTTTTGTTTGACACCAAAGTAGTTATATCAGATAGTTTATTTACAATGGACTATATTTCTTAGGGAGCTCTGGTGGCCTACTGGTAAGAACCTGTGCTGACAGCTCAAAGGCACATGGTTCGACTCGACCAGCTCCATGGCTTGTTTCTTCCAGCTGCTCCGTGGGAGAAAGATGGGCAGTTGACTCCCTTGCGATTTGCTGCCTCTGAAAACCCACAAGAGGGTCAGCTCTGAAGTTGGTTTTGACTCAGTGATACATCATCAATCACAAACATGTTTTTCTTTGGAAATGATTTGCAAAAATAAATTTTGTAAGCAGTTCATTTAAAATTCAAGATACAGTGCTGTAGGAATCAGTCCTTGAAGAAAGACATCAGGCTGGGGAAGGTGGAGGGACAGCGAGGTGGATGGGCTTGTGCAGGCCAGAGATCACGAGGCTGGCACAGGCTAGGGTGGCTTCAGATCTGTCAGTCGAGGGTCCCGCTGGGTTAGTTGTTATGATCTTGCTAGCACCTAACACCACCACCACAATGCATTTCACATAGGAATTTAGTTTTGTGCTGGTACTATTCTTGGTAATGATGGTCTTTTACATTTTAATGGGTTTGTTTTGTTTTTGTTTTTATCATTCTAGCCTGTCTTGAAGGAACCAGATTAAACATGTAATACAGCTGAAATATTTTGTTTTTAAAAGACCTTTTAGACAAAGGGGGGAAAAAAGACCTTTAGAACTTGTTTGTTTTTGTTAATTTTTATTTTTTTGTTGTTGTTGTTATGTGCCGTCGAGTCGTTTGTGACTCATAGCGACCCTATGTACAACCGCCCTAAACCGTGCTCTATCCTGTGCCAATCTCATTGCCTCTGACACACCCATCCTGATTACCCCAGTCACTGAATCAATCCACCTCATAGAGGGTCTTCCCCTCCTGCACTGTCCCTCTACTCTACCCAGCATGATGTCCCTCTCTAAAGACCTGTCTCTCCTTACAACATGTCCAAAGTACACCTAACTATTTCATCATCTGGCTTCTCAGAACTGATTAGAAGTTTAAAGCACATGGAGTCATTAAAACTATCAAATGCATATTCAGGAATCCGTAGAAAATGCCTGAATGAGGGAGATTGGAAGTGTACATCTACACTTTATAGATAGGTACTGTCAAGCCCTGAACAAAGTAGCAGTCTTCATATTGAGCCTCACAAATGTAGTAATTTACGTTTATAATAATAATAATAATAATAATAATTCATTGTTCAGGAAAGTAACAGTTATTGTTAAAAAAAGGTTGATATTGTAAAAGCATTTTACTAAAAACCAAACGTTTCATTTTGATGTATTATAGGAATAGGGTCCTATTAAGGGTCTGGATAACTCTTGTAAAGGGTTGGGGGGAAAAGAAGTCTGTTATGTCATGCAAGGTAAAGACTTCCACAAGTGTATTCATTAAGTGACATATCAAATGGATTCCCTTCTTGCTGAAGCAGCCAGTGTCCTCTTATGAAATTAAATATGTTACAGGAAAAAAGAGGGAAGGGGAAGGGGTGAGGGGAACAACAAGAAATAGTTTCTGCTCCAGCACCTGGCCTCACAAGTGCCTGTAGATATGTTGTGATGTTGGCTTGATGTTTTGGCAAGACATTAGCCTATCTGGAGTAACCCTGTGCCTATCTGGTCTCCGAGCTAGCAAAGGCTTTTAAAACTTTTACCTTTATGGAATACTTCATTAGCTAGCAGGGCTTTCTTATAGCATTTTTTAAAAAGTTACTCCGCAAATATTATTTAGTCATTACATTAAATAATTGAATATGAAATTTGATTCTGTAGTTTGAGGGGTATTTGTTTTTTCATTCCCAAAATAGAATAGGTAAGTTGATAGTACCATCACTATCTGCTGTTGCCTAGAATATTGGAAATGGATACTTCTGCCTCAAAGAGTAGTAAGTGCTGTGTTTAGTACTTGCTGCTATATAAAATAATAATTGCTACATTCTGTGACAAAAAAAAGAAACTTTCTTTCCAGCAAAGTGATAAACTCAATTTCAATGAATGAAATTTTGTGATTTTTAACCATCAGCTACAGTAGAGATGGGACAAAGGCTTCACTTCTGACTTGTTATTATAAAGACTTTAAATGAATATTTAAAACTGGAAAAGGAATTCTATCTTGTGTATTCTCTGTTGTTGTTTTTCTGTACCACTGAGGAAGCTGACGCTCCAGCGGGTTTTCAGAGACGGTAAATCGCGCTGGTGTTGATTGCCCCTCTTGCTCCTGTGAGGGCAGCTGGTGGATTTGAACCACGTAGCTCTGCCTTGGCAGCACAGTTCCTTACTACCATGCCACCAGAGCTCCAGTGTGTTCTCAGTACAGACAGTTAAATTGACAATATAAAAACATTTTATCTTTGCACTACACTGCGAGTGTATCTCCTTATGTGGTCTGAGTTTTGATGTCTACAAAATTAATTTTAGTTGTCTTTAATCAGATTGAAGGAGATCTGATATTTGTGATTGTGAGAAATAGTGGTTGTGATTAACTGGGATTCATAATAGCATTTCTACAAAGGTTACAATGTCCAAGAGTAAAGAAAGGAAACAAAGTAAATGTTCCTTTAAAAAAAGTGGCCTAAAAAAAAAAATCAAAATTTAAAAAAAAAGTGGCCTGCAGATAAAGGAATTGTGATTAAAGTTTCAGGCTGTGATTTTATAGGATGTTGCTTTGTGAACCCAGACCATACTTCTCTGGCGATTTGAACCCTTCAGCAACTCCTCAGGAGAAAGATGGGTCATCTCCTGTGCAGTTGACAGCTTTGGAAATTCAGTGGAGGGTCAGCTGAGAGTGGTTCTGAGTCATTGTTCATTAATTTGATTTCCACTCCCTCCTCTTCTCACTGAAAGATGTTAAACACTAGGAAAGTTAACTGTGTGGAGAACTAGTAACTTCTGGATTTACAAAATGCATGTGTTTTGCTGAAATAGAATAATCTGTTTAAGTTAGGCAGGACTCATTAAAAGTGTGACTTCTAAGTTTAAACATAGAAGAATTTGTATATAAGGTTATCCTGTATTACTTTTTAGAATTTTATGTCATAGACTTTAGTGCCTTGGGAACAAATAATTGTACTGTCTTTGAAGGAACTTTGCAAATTCCCTAATTGTACTCACCTCCTCCCTCACATCTTTAAGTCTTCAAAATTAAAGCAGCTGTAAGTAATAGAAGCTTCAAACATAAAGTAGTAGCTCTGGGGGCTTAGTACATTAGGTCTTGGACTGCTAACCCATATGTCGGTGGTTCAATCCACCAGCTACTTTATGAGAGAAAGGTGGGTAGTTTTTACCAACAAAGTTTTACGCCTGGGAGACCTGATGGAGGGAATACTGTGAAACAAGTCCACAGCAATGGATTTCATTTCTGGTTTATGAGTAATATATATCATTTAACAATTTAAACTATTTTCGAACACTAGGTGTGTTTTTGCTAATGAAATGAATGTAAACTAAACTCGAAGTCTAACGTTTCTTTTTCTTTGTCCTGTAGGCATTTTTTGATGTGCCATCTCTTTGCAGCATGGACACCAAATTACTCCCTGCAGACTTTGGAACTGCCGGTGAACTTATCTTTTACAGTTTCCCAGGAGACTTCTTAGTAGCCTCTTCCTTTTTTTGAATTAGTATTAGAAAGTTAAGATCAAAATGAGTTCAAGCCTATGGAGTCAAGAAAAAGTGACTTCACCCTACTGGGAAGAGCGGATATTTTATTTGCTGCTTCAAGAATGTAGTGTGACGGACAAACAAACTCAGAAGCTGCTGAAAGTGCCCAAGGGGAGCATAGGCCAGTACATTCAAGATCGTTCTTTGGGGCACTCGAGAATTCCTTCTGCAAAAGGCAAGAAGAACCAGATTGGATTAAAACTTTTAGAGCAGCCTCATGCCGTTCTTTTTGTTGATGAAAAGGATGTCGTGGAAATAACTGAAAAATTCACAGAGTTACTTTTGGCAATCACCAACTGTGAGGAGAGATTCAGCCTGTTTAAAAACAGAAATAGACTAAGTAAAGGCCTCCAAATAGATGTGGGGTGCCATGTGAAAGTCCAGCTGAGGTCTGGGGAAGAAAAGTTTCCTGGAGTCGTGCGCTTCCGAGGACCCCTGTTAGCAGAGAGGACGGTGTCCGGAATATTCTTTGGAGTAGAATTGCTGGTATGTTTGAGAAACTATTTTATATGTTTTGGTTTGTATGTCTGGCCTTTTTTTAGTGTGAGTATATCTTTGAATGCTCACATGTATTTTTTTACCCCCTTTTTTATGCAAAATACATTTTCACGAAGTAAGCATGTAATTTTTCATATTTGGATTTTTAGGATTTATTTTTAATGATAATGTGAGATAATGCAAAACATTCTTACATCTCTTCTTTAAACTGCTTGTGACACTTACTGGAAGTCGTGATGGCATAGTGTATTGCATGGGTGACTGCCATCAGAAAGGTGAGTGGTTTGAATCCAGCTTCTCTGCAGGAGGAATATAAAGCAGTCTACTTTCAACAAGACTTCTATTGTTGGGGACCTCATGGAGGGTGGCCTCGCGTCAGAGCCACCTTGACAGCCGTGGGGTTTGCGGTGGATCCTATCTTGTTCGTTGCTGTAGAGCTGATTGTAATTTATGTTGACCCTGTGTGCTTCGGGGTAGAACTGTTCCACTGGGTAGACTGCTCAGTAGTAGAAGAACTCATTGGCCTGTAGTCTTTACGGAAGCAAATTCCAGGCCTTTTCTTCTGTGGTACCATCTATATGGTAGTACCTGTGGGTGGGGTTTGAACCACAAACCTTTAGCTTTATAGTATTTAAATGGGATTCATTTGCTCCACTGAGGGACCTGGTTTTAAAAGTTATTATTGAGGGACCTGGCTCTAAAAGTTATTGTTTTTGTTGAGTACCGTGGAGTCGGAACTGACCCATAACTGACCCTCCAGCAGGTTTTCAGAGGCGGTAAATCACAAGGGAAGGGAATGCCATCTTTCTTCTGTGGAGCAGCTGGTGGATTTGAACTGTATACCTTTTCACTGGCAGCGCAGTTCCTTACCCCTAAGCCATCAGAAGCCCTTTACCTCCAACAGTTGTTGTTGTGTACTGTCAAGTCAGAACAGACCCATCGCTGACCCTCCAGTGGGTTTTCAGAGGCAGTTAATCGCACAGAAGGAGAGTGTCCTGTGGAGCAGCTAATGGATTTGAAACACGTGCCTTTGAGATTGCAGTGCAGTTCCTTACCACAAGGCCACCAGAGCTCCCTAGGAAATACAATTAAATCACAGTTATTAAACACTTTTTTTTAACTTCAGAAATTTTAGAGTTGTCTGTATTAAATTCTATCAGACTGTAATTACTCCACCAAGTTGTTAATTGTTAATTGTGACATTATCACTTGGGTGTTTTCAGCTTCTCTCCTAATGTGTGCTATTAAGTAATGATAGTTTGGATTAGATTTGAAAAGGAAGTTAGAATATTTTAAACTTGCTTGTAGTTATTATATAATACATGTGAAGATGATCTTGGGTTTTTTTTTATTTTACAAACTTTTTAAATTAATTTTAATGAACATTTACAGAGATTTTGGATTTCCATTCATTCATTGTTGCACTATTTTCTCTACCCACCCCCCGCCCGCTGCCGTTCGTTCCTCTTTTTTTTCCCCCTTGAAAGTCTGTTTTAATTGTCCCATTGCCACAGTGCCTGTCAGAACCAATTCTGATTAATCTCCTTTGTCAGTGTGTCTTTTGCCCTTTCCTATCACTCCTCCCTGAGAGAGATTTCACCCTGATTCATAAGGAAAAGGGGACCGCGTATTCTTTTAGCTACTTTCTGCTGAAGTGGGACGCTGTGGGTTTCAGGGTGAAGACCTTCTCTCACTACTTTAAAGGGCTTGGGGTTTTTTTTTAATGTTGCTTCTTTTTTATTATTATTAACTGAAAAAACCCAGGAGCTCTGTGATTATATTTCCAAACTTGATTCTCAAGTCCTTGAGTGTCAGTAACATTTTGTCATTCTTGGAGATAGAATTTCATGCCTTGTCTTAATAATATATTTTTAGCTGTGATTGTGAAGAATTGGGAATTTAAATCCCAGCTATGTCTTTTATTACCTTAGTTACCAAGTTACTGAACGAAATTCCTTAGCTCCTCTCAGTTTTCCTTCTTACCTGTAGAATGGTGATGCAAAGCCCCTTACCTGTAGAATGGTGATACAGCGCTCCCTCACTGTCATTGTTTCCTGATGCCTCCCCGTGGGGTTTCTGAGGCTGTAAATCATTACAGGAGGAAACGGCCTGCTCAGTTCAAACACAGGCCTTTTGAGAAACAGCACAGCACATCATGCACTGCTATGGCACCAGGGCGACCAAAGAATTGATAGTTATTTGCAATTTGCAGTACGTTTATGGTGTGTGCATGCAGGATTTAGCACAATGGCTGGTACCTAGTGCATGCTTATTTATTGGAACTAATGTTACTATTATTTTTAAATAAACTGTTCTTTTTTTTGGAAAAAATGATTGTCAAAGCCACAATACAGAATCTAGCCCAACATTTTAATAAATGTAATTCATCCTGGAGAGGGTTAAACCAGGCTGCTCCTTGGAGGCAAGGATTGTGAGACTTTGTCTGACATACTTTGAGCATGTTGTAAGGAGGGACTGGTCCTTGGAGAAGGACATCATGCTTGGGAGGGTGGAGGGATAGCGCAGAGGGGGAAGGCCCTCTATGAGGTGGATTGATTAAGTGACTGGGGTAATGGGGATGGGAGTGTCAGAGACGGTGCGATTGACACAGGACAGAGCAGGGTTTAGGGCTGTTGTACACAGGGTCACTATGAGTCGCAAGCAACTCGATGGCACATAACAACAAGACAACAACAACAATTTGTTCTTAAATTTTACTGAAAAAGGTTTTATTTCTGTGTTACATCATTTTATTTTAGCATCAAGTACAGCTTTTTTAATTTTGATTTTCAAAACCATCTTAAGTATAACAGGAGTTCTTTCAGGTATGATCCTCTGAGAATTCTTGTTGGGTTTTCTTTTTTTTTTTTTTTGGTTATGTTTCATCTGTCTATATCTTTGTATTTTCTCTTTCTTAAAAACTAGGAAGAAGGCCGTGGCCAAGGGTTCACTGATGGAATATATCAAGGAAAGCAGCTCTTTCAGTGCGACGAAGACTGTGGAGTGTTTGTTGCCATGGACAAAATAGAAATCATAGAAGATGATGACACAGGGTTGGAAAATGATTATGCAGGCCCAGTGGACACCATGCAAGTTGAACTTCCCCCTTTGGAAATAAATTCCAGGGTTTCTTTGAAGGTTGGAGAAACTTTAGAATCTGGAACTGTTATATTCTGTGATGTTTTGCCAGGAAAAGAAAATTTAGGATATTTTGTTGGTGTGGACATGGTAAGAACATTTTGGATTATATTACCTTTGTGAATATATTTCTTAGTTTTTTGGACCAATTTCAGTACAAATTGAGCACTCTGAATACTTAAAATGGGCCAGTTAAAAGGAATTTAAAAGAATGAGTTCAAGTTTAGGGAGCTCTGGTGCCCTAGCTGGTAAGGAGTGGGTGGTGCTTCCAGCCCAAAGTCAGGGGGTTTAAATCCAGCGGAGGAAAGGTGGGCAGGCTTGCGTGTGATTTACAGCCTCTGAAAACCTGCTGGAAGGTCAACTGTGAGTCAGTTCTGACTCGATGGCACATAACAACAGTAGCAACAATCTGAAGTAATTTAAAGGATGTGTTCTAATTTACGTTTGCTAGAAGAAAGGTATGGGACTGTAGATTGAGAATTAGATATCTTTTTTCCCCCCCAGCTTGCCTAAATTGGAATAATATTTTCAGCCTCTAAATATATCTATTTATAATTAGCCAGTAGATAGAAAACCAGCCAACCAAAAATAACCCATGTTTTCAACTGATGTGTTATTTTCCTTCATTTTGAAAAAGTTTTTTTTATCTTTTAGAAATTCGATATGCTTTAAAAAATATTTCGCAAAATTCTGTTGGTGCTGCTGAGAGTTTAATGTTTAATATTAAAATCTTTTAAGGAAATTGCCGGAGTATGAGGAAAAGCACATTGGTTCAGAGGGATAGACCATTTTGAGTGTTCTCTTAAGATGCCACTCGTTTCTGATGCAGCCTTACAATTATTATTCTTATTAATGAGCACATTCTACAGGCTAATTCCTTTGACAGGGTTGAGTATAAGACTTGTTCCTCGTGACTTCGTGGTGAGGAGTTGCACTGCCAAACTGAAGGCATGTGGTTTGAATCTACTAGTTATCAGTTACTATCAGTGCTCTTCACTGCATGTTCCGTCAGTTTCAGAATGAAAAAGTTGTTGTTGGTGGTGGTTGTTGTTAGATACTGTGAGGTTTGAAGCACCTCATCTTTGACCCTCCAGGGGATTTTCAGAGGCACTAAATCACACAGGAGGAGATTAACCATCTGTGCACAGATGGTATGCTGTTACAGCATTATACTTCAGGTGGATCTTGAAATTGTCTTTTTGACAAAAAGCAAAGTATTCATTATTAATATATGTAATTTAATTATAAGGTGGCAAGGAGTATGACACCATTCCTCATCCATTTGTCATTCCCAGCATAACAGATCACAGACTGATTATGGCTACTACCAGTCCAGGTCAGCCATTGACTTGCTCACTAGTCTGTGCCAAGAAATTTGGACTACAACTCACTGACTAATAACAGCTAATTTGGCCAGCTGACTGTAAGATCCATATTCATTCCCATTCCCCCCAAAAAGGATAGATACCCAGCAGAACACAGAAAGTATCAAGAAGTATCATTAGCATAACATGCAAGTAAAATCTTGCTGAAGATTATTAAAAAAATGACTAGTCTATTGACTGGGAACTGCTAGAAATTCAAGCTGAATTTAGAAGAGGCCATGGCACAAGGGATATCATTGCTGATGTCAGATGGATCTTGGCTAAAAGCACAGAATACTAGAAAGTTATTTACTTGTGATTTATTGACTGTGCAAAAGCATTTGACATGTGGATCATAACAAACTAAGAATAATATTGGGAAAAAATAGGGATCCCAGAACACATAATTATGCTTATGAGAAACCTAATTGTAACTGAGTAGTTGTTGTCTGAACAGAGCAAAAGGACAAGCTGTGTGTCAGGGTTGCATGTTTTCTCCATACCTATTCAGTCTGAATGCAGAACAAATCATTCTAGAAGCTGGACCATATGAAGAAGAATGTGACATCAGGCTTAGAGGAAGACTCATCAACAACCTGCTCTATGCAGATGGCACAACCTTGCTTGAGGAGGACTTGAAATGCCTGCTGCAGAAGATCAAAGGCTACAGCCTTCAACATTACATCTCAATATCAAGGAAACAAAAATCCTCCCTAGTAGGCAGCATCCTGATAGATGGAAAAAAGATTGAAGTTGTTAGCAGTTTCCTTTTACTTGGATCCACAATCAACACCCATGAGAAGTCAAAAAACGTGCTGCATTGAGAAAGTCTGCTGTCAAGGACCTCTCCAAAGTGCTAAAGAGAACTGATGTCAATTTAAAGACTAAGAGTTGCCTGATCTAGGTCATGATCTTTTCAGTTACTTCCTATGCGTCTGAGAATGGTCAATGAAGAAGAATGAGAGAAGAAGAATTGATGCTTTTGAATTGTGGTGTTGGGAAAGAGTATTGAATTAATATGCAAAAGCCCATCCTGTGGGCAAGGATGGTGAAACTTTGTCTCATGTACTTGGAGCATGATGTCTTAGAAAAAAAGACATGATGCCGGGGAAGGTAGTGAGGCTGACAGGTGACTGTGATAATGGGCTCAGATTGTGAGGATGGTCTAAGATAGGACCTGGTTCCGATCGCTTGTTCATGGCGGTGCTCTGAGTCTAGTCCATTGGAAGCATCCAGCAACAACAGCAACAACAAACAAATTACATAGAAAGTGTTTACAGAACGTTCACTCTGTGCAAAGGCAGAACCAGAGTGGACCCCTCATGAAAGCACCCTCTTAAGTCTAATTTTACAAATATTAATTTGGCATTTATTTGCAGAAACTGTGGGATAGCTGGGAGGAAGATTCAAAAAGGAGGAACATCAATCTCTGGGGTTCATCTCCCATTTTTTAAAGACATTCAGTTCAGGTTCCAAACTTTTCAACTCTGCATGCATGCGCGTGCGTACACACACACACACACACACACACACAGACACACACACTCACACACACACACACTTACTTGAAGCTTCCTCTTCTTTAGATGGCATTCTAGGAATCACTTTGTCCCTTTCCTTCTGGTCACAAACTTCTTTTAGATCTACCAATCTCCCTACTCCTCCTACCCCCAACTTTCCCCCGTGCTGCCTTCCAGCACCCACTTATTCCAGCCACTTTGATTATATTTTTTGAGAGAAAAGTTCTAGAAATGTAAATTTCTTCATGTAATTAAATTTTCCATAATATTTTAGAACAGAACATATTGGTGCTCAGGGGACATTGACTGGCTCATCCTGCTGTCAGTCGGTGCTCCACACTATGTCAGAATATAGAGTAATTAAACAGAAGAGTCTTTGGAGGAAATTCTTACATACCCATGAAATGACAAAAGAACAAAGAAAAACTAGGATGCTTATGTATGGAAGGTTGTAAGGAGTTCATATTTATGTGCTGAAGGACTGCTAAGGAGTATTGGAGCAAGCTAGGATTAATTATTGTATGATTAATAATTTTTCTGATGCAAAATAATACCACTGTTGCTATACAGACTAGTATTTGTTATCTAGTAAAGTATTAAAAACACTGTTGGTTCCTTTTTCATTTATCGATTACTGTGGTTGGGTTATTCTTGGATTTAATTTCTTTACCAACAAGAAAGACACTGTTTCTGGGGCCTTTGTAATCTAGACTTTTTTCTTTTAGACAAAAGAGTTAACATTTACTTGTGTAAAATGTTTTGCAGTCCCTTTATTAAAAAATGCAGGTTTTCATATTTATATTTTATTAAGAAAGGTTTTTTAAAAGAAGTTTTCTTATTAACTTCTAGGATAATCCTATTGGCAACTGGGATGGAAGATTTAATGGAGTCCAGCTTTGTAGTTTTGCCAGTGTTGAAAGTACGCTTCTTTTGCATATCAATGATATCATCCCAGGTATGTTTGATCCATTTATAAGACAGTGTTGCTCAACTGTGTTTTGTTTTGAGGATGTAAATATTAATTTCCAGGGGCATTTTTGCAATTTTTCTTTATCATCTCCAAATGAAAGCCATGTATATAGAAATTTGCATTTCCGAAAGTGTGGGTAATGTTTATGCATTCAACTTTTTCACCACTTATATATTCTTTTTCTTTAAATTTTTTTTTTAAATTTTTATTTGTGTGTGTGTGTGTGTGTGTGTGTGTGTGTGTGTACCGTCAAATCAGATCTGATTGGTACAGGAGGAGATAGTCCCTCCTTCCCCGGCAGAGCATCTGGTGGATTCGAACCGTTTTCCTCTGGGATTGTAGTTGCAGCTCCTTGCCACTAGGCCACCAGAGCTCCCCCACTTATATATTCTAATTAACACTGATAATTAGAAGAGTTAGAGAAGGTCTTAAATTGGTGCTTGAGAGCCTGGTTTACTAGAAGCTGTTAAGCAGAAATTGGTCGTCTTATTGAATCTAGGCATGGCTTCCAAGATCCTTCCAGGTTTTGAGAGGGTGTAATTGATAATCTTCGTACCTGTAGTCGGTAGCTTTATTCAGCTTTACCTCTTAAGGGGGGGAAATATCTTCTGCAGCCTTTTTTATTTTCTCAAATAGTTGCCTCTGGTGACAGCTGCCATAATGACAAAAACCTGTCAATATTTTCACATTGTGTCATCACTTGCTGTTAGAATTCCCGTGCTAGGTCAGCTGATAGTTACGTTAATCACAAAACTCACACTCCTTCCTGAGCACTGTGCAACTGAATCCGAGGGCAGAAAGGCTGCAGGAGGGTCTCGGACCCTGCATTAGGTGGCTTGCACTTTAAAAATTTTCCTAACAAGCCTAGAAGGTAGGTATTCCATCTTGCTGATTAAAAAGTTGGGCCATTCAGATAGTCCAAGTAACTTGTGAAATTCAAAGGAAATGGTAGAGCTGGAATTCAAATCCATACATATCTGATTATCAAGATCTGCCCTTTTCGGCCTGTTTCTATGCTTAATTCAGTATGCGTTCTTAGAATGAGAAGATCTGCATAGAAAACCATTCTTTTCAATCCTCCATGTACACTTGGAGAATATTGTTTCCATGGAGATGCATTTATTTCTCGAGTTCTATAAAAGCAGAATTTTAATATAGCAAGGATCACAACTGAATAGGCAAACTAAACATTTTCTTTCAGTAAACATGGAACAGTTGTGGGTTTTCACAGGTTCTTTCAGGTGCTTACTTTCATTTGCAGCAGCGAAGGGGCTGCTACTTCCTGAATTGAAACAGTGATGATGGTTTAGTGGTAGAATTCCTGCCTTTCCCTCAAGAGAGTCCAGGTGCATTGCTGGACAGTGCAATGAATGCTCAGCCACCACTTGGCTGTGAGGACGTTGCTGTGATGCTCCGAAGGGTTCAGCCAGGCTTGCAGATTAAGATAGCACAGGGAGAAAGCCCTAGCAATCTACTTCTGCTAATAGGCTAATGAAAGTATATGATTAGTCGGATTACAGTGATCTGATGATGGACTGTTCAGGGCAATGGTGCGGGGACCAGGCAGCCTTTTGCTTTATTGTGCCTGGGGCTGCCGTGAGCTGGGGACTGACTCCACCTGACTCTGGCAGCTGACAGTCGTACTGGGTGATCTTGAGGATTCCTGTGAGCTTGCACTGTTTGGCCTGCTTGCTTGTCTTTGGACTTGACACATAATAAACACTTGCTTTGCTTAGAGTAGGAACTTCTTTATATTCTGAACTGAGGTTTTACAAGAGTCCGTTAATTTAGCTGAAAGTCCAAATGACAGTTTTACTTTGTGGAAACCTGACCTACTTTCCCTTTTCTTGATTTATTTAAAATCCATTGTTAACTCCTTGCAAATTGGACTTCTAGCTATTAAGGGGAAAGCATATGTGTGCTTCATATTTTATTTAGGGATACTTAGTTTATCTTTTCATTCCTGTTTATGGATGTTATAATTTTATAAGTTTACTTGAAAGCATAGCAAATGCTTATTGTTTAAACACTAATTTTACAAAAGGCTGTTCTTGTGCTCATATATTATTGAGGCTTTACTTAAGTATTCTTTTAGAATACTGAGGACGTAATAGGAAACAAAACAGAATAATTCTTTCCAGATGGATCTATCATTCTAGTGAGTGTATACTGACAAACATGAAATTAGAAGGTCAGGTAGATTGTGATTGGATGGAGAGTGATATACAAGGTAAGGGAGAAAGGAGAGCTGTATTGAAGGGTTTTACAGAGGGCAGTCCTAATGAACTTCTCTAATAAATGTCACTGGAGCTCTTAACATGAAGGAAATAGGGAGTGAGCTATGTGGATAGCAATTGACAGCTACAAAAAGTAGTTTAATTTTGACCAAAGGACGACCTTGACCTTGCCCTGACTTACACTTCAAAACAGGCATATTTCAGACATAGACATTTGACTGTGTGGATTACAACAAATTGGGGCAAATCCTCACAAGAATGGGAATCCCAGAACACTTGATTGTACTCATCTGTACTTAGACCAGGAAGCAGTTGTATGAACAAAGCAAAGAAATACTGTATGGTTCAAAATCAAGAAAGGAGTGTGTCAGGAGTGTCCTTTCTCCCTTTTCAATGGGAGGCCGGGAGGGTGGACTTTATGAAGAAGAAAGTGGCAGCAAGACTGCAGAAGATACTTCAATGACGTGCGTTATGCAGATGACAACAACCCTGCTTGCTGAAACTGAGGACTTGAAGTGTTTGCTGCAGAAGGTCAAGGATTGAAGTCTTCAATGTGGATTGAAGCTCAACATCAAGGAAGCAAAGATCCTCACCACCAGGCCAATAGGCAGCATCATGATAGATGGAGAAAGGATTTATGTTAGCAGTTTTATCTCGCTTGGGTCCTTTATCAACACTCTTGCCACCAGCAATCAGGAAATCAAAAGACAAGTTGCTTTTGTAAAGTCTGTTGTCAGGGACCACTTAGAATGCTAAGGAGTAATGATGTCAGTCTAGAGACTAAGGTGCACTTGGCCCAAGCCATGGTCTTCGCAGTTATTTGCTATGCATCTGAGACCTGAGCAGTGACTAAGGATGACGGAAGAAGAATTGATGCCTTTGAGTTGTGGTGATGGAGCAGAGTATTGAACATACTGTGGACTGCCAAGAGAACAAACAGTTCTATCCTGGAGAAGGTGAAACCAAGTTGATCCCTTGGAGGCAAGGATTGTGAAATTCTATTTCACATACCTTGGGCTTGTTGGGACATCATGATTGGAAGGGTGGAGGGTCAGTGCAAGAGAGGAAGACCTTGGATGAGATGGACGGACACAGTGACTCCCCAGTCACTGTGTCTATGAGGGCAGGTGTTTCAGAGACAGTGAGACTGACCAAGATAGGGCAGGGTTCAGAGCTGTTGTACATGGGGTCTCTGTGAGTCATAGTTGATTTGAGGGCACATGACAACCCCAAGAGAGAGGGAGGAAGACAGGGAGACCACAGAGGACGCTGCTGCAGTTGTCTAAGTGCCGTTATCCACTTCAGTGAAGATGGTGGTATGGCGAAGCTGGTGAGAAGTGAAGTGGACATTAGAATAATTTGTTTTAAATTTTATCTTATTATTTTGTGTACGTGTCTGTACCATCAAATCAGATCTGACTGGTACAGGAGGAGACTGTTCCTCCTTCTCCAGCAGAGCATCTGGTGGATTTGAACTGTGCACCTCTGGGATTGCAGTACACCTTCTTGCCACTAGGCCACCAGAGCTAGCCTCATTTGAATACTTTTATGAATATCTTACGAATTCTTTATTGATCTTGAAACTGAACAATATTACTGACCTTTTTCATATGTTAGAAACTTTATTGTGAAACAATTTATATAAGAGTGTTTGAAAACTCATTTTTTAAGATTAACAATGAACACAAGTTACTGGAAAACATAGGCTTTGTCTCCAGAAAAACCAATCTTGGAGACAGAGATTAGCGGTAAAACCAGACATCATATACCAGTGTACAAGACATGCGGGTATCAGTTTGCCAGACCTGTTTCCCTGTTTAACACTGCAGGGGCTTATATAGGAGACACACAGACAATATGATGTATGAAAATTCCGTGGTGCCTTCCACATGTTTAACCTGGTGAATATGTGTCCCAGACTGACTGACATATTCTGGTTCAGGTTTAGGAACTAGCTTGGTGCCATCTGTATGTCATGACCAAAAGAGAGGAATCTCATTATAGACTGCAGGCTACACAGGCAGACATCAACAAAAGGCTTCTGTTGGAGAGTAACTCTCAGGTTTAGATTACAGGGTAGACAGGCAAACGTTACCAAACTGCTTTAGTTTGATAAGAACATTTCTGTTAGGTACTCTGATAGGCTAAGGTGAAACCTTCCTTTTAAAATGTTACAAAAGCATGTTAGTTTTACATTGGTATAGGGTAGCATCCAGTCATTAATTGAGAGGCTAGTCTTTTGCTATTCTGTCCACTAATTGCTAAAGAAAGTCCTTGTGCCTAAAGTGTTATAAAGTGTTAGATTCTAGCTATTACAGAGCATAAAAAAAGGGTTCGTTTCTATTTTTTTAGTAAGTACTCTTTTTTAAAATTAATTTTAATGAAAGTTTATAGAGACTTAGAGTTTCCAGTCATTCCTTGTTGCACTTTTCTCCCTGCCCCCCACCCCCCCAATTCACTCTTCTCCTTGAAAAGGAAATGAAAAATTCTTTCATTGTTATGCAATTTCTCCCCCCAAGCCCACTCTACTATGCAGCATTCACTCTGGACTTCTGTAATGACAAGAATACCCATTTATGTGTCCCTTTTAAACAGTTCTCTGTTAACTGTTTCAAAGCATTATACATCATTCTTCCCCTCCTTTTCTGTCTTCCCTCAAACCCTGATGTCAGTTCCATTTTACAACAGTGGCCTTATGCAATATTTGTCCTTTTGTGACTGAGTTATTTCACACAGCATAATGTCCAC